TTTTTTTTTTTTTTTTTCTAATAGTACAAAATGTACATGAATACAACTCGAGAGTGAACTGACTCTAATAGGGAGAGACACCCACAACCAAGTGCTTTAAAACTAGATCTATCACAACACACACACACTGAACACTCCAAAGGAAGAAAAGACGAACCAAAGCTCCCGGAATGAAACATATATTGTTTGAAAAGAAAATATATATATATATATATATATATATAAATAAATACTACACAATTGAGAATATATATGGCCTAAAGACACAAATATGTAGATCTTATACATGTGAGACATTAGCATATCAATAGTATTACAATAAATGGGCTATGTTAAGGGCTTGATTGTTTATGGAATAATTTGTTCAAAATGAGTTATTTTGGTTAACCATAGTTACTTTTGAAAAAGGTGTATGGTTAGTTGTTAGTGGAATTTTTTAGAATGTATTAAAATAATATTTAAAATAAAATGATTAAAATTTATTTGATGTAAAAGTAAGAGATAAATGATTGGAAATGATTAGAAATGATAGGTAGTTAAAAATATGTGAGTGGATGAATAGTGAATTAAAGTTGATGTGATGTGTAAGAATGATTGGTTTGTATTATTTAATTATATGAATTATATTAAAGACAGTTGAGTTGAGTTAAATTTGAATTAGATTTTGAGTTGAAATAAAAGTGAGTAAAATAATTTATAAACAATCAAGCCCTAAGTAACAGGCCTGTAAAAGGCCCAAGAAGAAATTTCTTTAGATTTATGTCCTTAAAAATTTGTATCTTGAGTATGATATAATTTAAAATATTTCCACATAAAATCTGACTCATATAAACTCATCCAATCTATCATGTTTACATAAATTTGTAACTGAAGTCAAGCAGTCACGTGCATGTCTAATAATTTTTGCCCATCATTGATTGAAGGAGAGAAACCTTACAATGATATCAAAACTAAATAATTAAGCGAACTTTTCAACAAGATTGAATTGAATTAGGGTTGCAAGTAAATCAAGCAGCTGACAGGTGTCCGAATTAAAATTTAGGAAAATGCTACAGTCTCGTAAATTTAGAAAAATATTACAGTCCCGTTACGAGAAACCGTTAGATCATCATGTAACCGTCATGGATAGTTGATCTAACGATTACAAATCCCGACGGAATGATTTCGTAACGGGATCGTAGAATCTCTCTAAAATTTAATTGGATATTGAGCTTTAACTGATCTGGAGCCAAGCTCGAGTAACTTAAACCTTAACGTGAACTTTTATTCAAGCTTACTTTTTTCGAGCACTTGACTAACGGTTTTGGGTTAAAGTTCAACCTCTAGAGAGATTCAACCTAATTATAACGACCTAAGTAACTCAAATTGTTTATGTTTGATTTTAAAATTTAATAATCTTGGTAATTCAACTACCATTTACCATTTAGGTCCCCCTAACTCGTCATCGTTTAGAAGAACCAAACGCGCATCATTGTTGCAGGCGTCATGCGTCAACCTTTTTCTCATGATCATCAACACCTCGACTTTAAGTCTGCGACATTTCCTTTCTCTTTCATGTTTGACAAACTGAAGCATTTTCTAATCTTGTGATTTCGAGTTTTCTCGAGTCAATCTCGAGCATTCCTATTTTTGTACTCGTCGAACTCGGGCAGCACCGGCTCATTTGACCCAAAAAAAAAAAAAAAATATATACTAGTAGAATGCTAGATTATGGTTTTTTAAAATTCAAATAGGAAAATGACTATGTTAGGCTATAGTCATATATCATCATTTAATGCTTAGTTCAGAGCTCAGATAACGGCACCACACCACACACACACACACACACGCATAAAAAATCACAAGAAAAGAATCATCAACACCAACAACAACAAATAGTAAACCTCAATAAAAGCTGAAAAAAGAAAAACATGATCCACCTCGATCGCCCCTCCTTTCTCTCTCCCCCAAAAGCTCCAAAATTCAATCTTTTCTTGATTTAGAGAGAGAAAAAGCTCAAGAAAATCTCAGCTCATCACCCCTTTGAATTTTTTTTTTTCTCCGGCTGCAAAAAAAGCACTGTTTTTCACCACTATCTGTCCCAGATTTCGATTTCTTGTTTTCCGGTATCAAGATTCCGACGAGCTAAAGCAGAAAGGATAAACTTTTTTCTCTTATATTCCCACTAAATCCCGATTTCGCGGCTGTAAATCAAGAAAAAAAGAATGAGGGAGGACGATTCCAACTGGTTCCCCAGGTGGGAGGAGGAGCTGCCGCCGCCGGAGGAGCTCACGCCCCTGTCCCAAACCCTAATCACCCCCGATTTGGCACTTGCCTTCAACATCCACGCGCCCCACGCGCCGCCGCCGCCCAATTCCTCCGCCGAGCTCGAATCTCCGGAGCGGAGCGCGGCCGCGACGGGCTCCGACGAGCCCGCGAGGACCCTGAAGCGGCCCCGCCTGGTGTGGACCCCGCAGCTCCACAAGCGTTTCGTGGACGCAGTGGCCCACCTGGGGATCAAGAACGCCGTCCCCAAGACCATCATGCAGCTCATGAGCGTCGACGGCCTCACCAGGGAGAACGTCGCCAGCCACCTCCAGAAGTACAGGCTCTACCTCAAGCGGATGCAGAGCATCTCCGCCGGCGGTGGCGGCGCCGGCGGAATCCCGGCTGTCTCCGGCGTGGACGCCGCCACTGACCGTCTCTTCGCCAGCTCTCCCGTGCCGGCCCATTTCCTCCACCCGGGCCGGGCCGGATCGGAGCATTTCCTGCCGTTTGTTCCTCCGGCGGCAATGGCAGCCCATTACCACCAGCAGCAGTTCAGGCACTTCGGTGGCTCGTCGCCTACCGGGCAGTTTGAGCACCCGTTCGTGAGGCAATCTCAGCAGCAAATGCAGAGAATGACGAATTATGGCGAGGATTTTGAGTCGGCCAATGGGAAGAAAGTTCTCACCTTATTTCCTACCGGAGATGATTGATTTTGATGGGTCATTATAAGGGTACTGGGAAATCATCTGCATTGTGAGTCGATTTCGATTTCGATTTCTCTTTCTCTTCTTGCTTGTGATGAGGGATGATCGTAATCTTTGAGGTGAAAAATTATATTTTCTTGCCAATTGAGTGTTTTTCAAATGTCCCTTAAATGCTATAGAATGAGTGCTTGAACTTCCCCTTGTGAAAAAAATCTGATCTTTAGGGGTTTATGGGGTAGATTTCTTGTCTAATTTGAAGTTATTGTTTAGATTTCGCTGGATTTATGTGCTTGTCGGAATAAGTAGGTGCATGAATGTAAGTCCATCTTCTGTAAATTCCGCATAAATTGTGTCTGAAATGCTAATAAAAGTTTGAAACTCCATTGTTTTAATGCTTGAGGAAGATACTTGATGTATATAACTATTGAGTTTTATGATTTCCTATAAGTCATGGAGTTATCATGGAAAATAGCATGAGAAATGGATTTTTCTTTTTTCACTGTTAAGGTTATGTTTGATAGCCAAATAAACTAGCTTATATCTTATTTGGTTAGCTTATTGGCTTTCTGTATTTAAATAAGCTTGGTTGGTAGGACCAGCTTTTTTTAAAAAGTTTGAGCTTATCTAATAAGCTTGTTTGGTTAGCTTTTGAAATGAGCTAGTTATTTATTTTTTTTTATATATATTTCAGCTAGTTTATCAACTAATTTTATTAAACATTTTAATCATGTAAGATACATTTTCGACTACATAAGTCATAAGCTATAAGCTCAAATCATCTATCGACTAGTTTTACCGAACATAGCAGTGTTGGTAAATATATGCCATTGTCCAACTTGATTCTTGATCTTATTGGTTAACTGCAATATATGCAATATATGATCTGATGATTATCAGGTCGGTTTTCTTATCGTCGCAAAATGTGTTCTACAGTAGCCAACTTTCGGTGTGTAGGTTTGTTTTAGAGGGCAATTAGATTTCTTAACATTGTTGCAGATTTTGGTTAAATGTTCGGATTCTTTTAGCATCATATGCTTGATCTTGTGAGCATATAATCCCCTCGTGTTTTCGTCTCGAAGTTCTTATGAATCGGCTTTAGTTCTTTTCTTGTTTGCTTCACCTGAGAAAGACCCAATTTTTGTGCCCAGAAACAGAAGTGAAAAAAGCCTTACAAATTTGCTTCACTTGAAAGACCCATTGCTTTTTGTCTCATAAAAAGGCTTTTTGTTCATGTTTTGCTAGTGCAAAAAAATTTAAAAAAATAATAATAAAAAAAAAATGCCATTCTTTTTGGTTGCTTTTGAATCAATAAAACAAAATCATTCATTTTTTTTTTTTTTGAGGACAATGAAATAAAATATTATGGTATCTAATTCTTCAAAGCTGGCATTTTGAATTGTTTTCAAAGGAATCATTTTTTTGTCAGTTTCAAAAAGACAGCCATTATTTGGCCGTCATTCATTGATTAGAACTATACCAACCCTTTGAATTGAATATGTTTGTAGAGAGATGTTAAAACAAAATCTCACAGATTTGGTTAGGTCTGATATGACTTATTGGCTATTGTATTAGGATCACCAACATTTTTTGAAGTTAAAGGTTTGATTGTTTATGAAATAATTTGTTAAAAATGAGTTATTTTGGTTAACTATAGTTAATTTTAAAAAATTGGTATGGTTAGTTGTTAGTGGAATTTTAAGAATGTAATAAAATAATATTTAAAATAAAATGATTAAAATTGATTTGATGTAAAAGTAAGAGATAAATGATTGGAAATAATAGGTAGTTAAATTATGTGAGTGGATGAATAGTGAATTAAAGTTGATGTGATGTGTAAGAATGATTGGTTTGTATTATTTAATTATATGAATAATATTAAAGATAGTGTGGTTGAGTTAAAGTTGAGTTAGATTTTGAGTTGAAATAAAAGTGAGTAAATTAACTTGTAAACAATCAAGCCCTAAGATTTTGCTCTACAAAATAATTTGGTTGGACATTTTTTTTTTTCTTAATGAAAAATCACAATGAATAAACTCAAAACATCTCAATATTTGAGTAAGTAAACAGTATGTTTGGTAGGATAAAGTATTTTGGAAAAGCTAGAGTCTACTTCAAATGTGTTTCTACGACGCACTACAAGAAAAACTGCATTTGGCGACGCTTATTTTTTTGTTTACTAACGCTTATTTTTTTCTGACATCAAATTTAGCAACACAACTCGCCAATAAGCGTCGCCAAATGCAGTTTTTCTTGTAGTGACGTTTTATATTTTTTTTTTCATGCCTTCATTAAACACTTTATTTGCTTAAAGTTATCTTTTTTTTTTTGTAACTAGCCACGGTATCCGAAGTTATGCCCCGAATGATCCTTTGGTCGATCAGGGTCGCACACCTGGCAATCGTGGGTGAGTCTCCCAACAAAGATTTTTTGTATCCACAAAGACTCGAACCCGAAACATTGCTTATGTTATCTTTTCAATACTAAGTTACAATCTATCGATTTACTAATTATCACGTGGCTTTTCAATGAGAAAAAATTTAAATATCAAACATACCGTTAAAAAATATTCATGTTTGGTAAATCTAACTAATAAGCTAGTTTATAGCTTTTAAGTTAATTTTGAGTTTATAGCTTATAACTTATGACTTGTGGCTGAAAAGCTAGCTTGTATGACAAAAATGTTTGGTAAAATTAGTTGCTATGCTAACTGAAATAAAAATTTTCAATTAGCTTATTTGAATAGCTACCGAATAAAGCTTATGAAATAATTTTGAACTTTTTAAAAAAGTTCATCCTACCCAGGGACGGATCCAACAATTAAGAGTAGACTAGGTTAAAATTTTAAGTACTCATTTTCATAAAAATCACATAATATTTTTTCTTCAAATATTCGCTGAAGTTGTGTTCGACGAGCTTTTACAGAATAAAATTCATCAATAAAAGAATATATACTTATACTATTAGTAAACTCCCGTCAACGACGAGCTTTTTGGCCTAAGGTTGTTGCTTTAGGTGATTTCTGAAAATTTCACAAGCCAAATATGTCTATTTATTTAAGCTAAACATGAGTTGAAATATATATATATATATTTTTAATTGATCATTTCCATATTGTGTACAAAAAATATAGCAATATATAAACAAAAGTGCAACAAAAAACAAATATTAGTCAATTAGGTATGGTAATTGATGCTTACCAGCCCACCATTTTGGTTCGGGTTTTTGAAACAAAGAAAATGAGAAGATGAAAAAGAAAGGGAATATTGAGAAGAGAGAAATTATGGTTATTGAAGAAGATAGAGACGTCATGTATGTAAAAGGAAATCTGACGAAAGTTTTGAATTGGAACCGTTAATTTAGAAAAGACGTAAAAAAGTAAAAGATAATGTACAGGAAATAAAATATTAGATATAAAAAATAAAAGATATAAAATGATTTGTTAAAATTTAAATAATTTATATATATGTATATCACGCCATTATTTTTGATGTCGTTTGGGCAATTGGGCTTGAGTATTTTAAATAAGTTAAAGTAATTAATGGTTAAAGCTAGTAACAGGCCTGGCTTCAGCTCAGTCCAAACCTAATGTAAGTCAATCCTACCTTACCAAACTTATTTGGATATGGAAAGCTTATAAGCTAATCAAATAAGTTATAAGTTATCTTAAATTCTTACCAATCACAACCTATGATTTAATATTGAAAAACTAGCTTATATGATAAAGTATTTGATAAAATTAACTGATAAACTAGTTGAAATGAAGATTTCAATTGGCTTATTTGAGAAGCTACACAAGAAAGCTTACGAAGCAAGCTTTTTTATGAAGTTCTCCTACCAAACCACGATTATTTGAATATAAAAAGCTTATAAGCTAATAAAATAAGATAAAAGCTAACTTATATACTTGTCAAACACAACCTTAATGATAGTCAAATAACTCATCACTCCTTCAAAGTACAAACCCTTAAAAGCTTTAAAGATGAGTAAAAAAACCCATCACTCCATCAAAGATTCCAAGCCATATGAACAAGTGTAAGTATAGAACTCAGTAGTAATGCTTCTCTACTCACGGTAGACACAAATTAATATATTCACCGCTTATGTTGCATACACACATTGGTGATGTAAAAAAGCAAAAACAAACAAATAAATAACAACAATGAGGAGCAACCGAACCATTATATATATAAACTCTTTCTACTTTTTAAGCAAAATGTATATTTATACTCCTCTTCAAAGGTAAAATGTTACATTTCAATATAAGAACACTCATATTTGTTCAAAAAAAAAAATATATATAATTGTCCAAATGGTTAAATTTAGCTAACAGTAACCTTCACCAAAATGTAGTAACCTTCACCAAAATGTATTTCAACCAATGCTCATAGCTCATAATAGTTGATATTTCAAACATGAACAACCCTTGTATGTAATCAAACATAAGGAACAAACAAAATACTGAAAAAAAAAAGAAACTGTTAAATAGTAACTTCCTAGTACTGACATAAACATAAATTGACAAACTGCAAACATGCATATAAATCTCAGTCTCCCTTCAAACAACACTACCTGATTGTCACTAGCATATGTAATTAATAGGTCTCCAAACAAGTTTACAAAAATAGTCGAAAAAAACCACAACAAAACCGAACAAATCACACGACCAAGTTCCAACTGTCTTTAACTCCATTAAACCTAGTACGAAGCCATAACTTCCCAAAAATCACCGTTGATTCTGGGGGTAATCAAAACTGAGCGGCTGCTGACAGAAGGGAGCCTATAATAGAAAGTAGTCGAGTTAGCAGGATAAATTGGAATATAAGTGTAGATATAATTTTTTTGTGAAATATCATATGAAGAACACAACGAAGAATAACAATGCTCATCAACGTTCATAATCTGTTAATAGTTCACCAACAGAATTGGCAAAAGAATCTTCTTTTCGATTTCAGCAATCACATACCAAACTATGATATCAGGCCATAAACATAAGTATAACTAGCAAACATGATAACATGTCAAATCAATTTTACCTCAGGTTCAAACATTGATACAATTGACAGAAAATGAAGAAAGCAATAAAATTTTGTTCCGTTCAGTTTTTCCTTTTCTTCTCCCCTTATTTTGTGGTGAATATGATGAAGAAAGAGCGAGCGTGCGTGCAGAATGGATGAATAAGGCATTATTGAGATCAAATTACCAATTCAAACAAAATTATGAAAAAAAAAAAAACACCGGATTTGAATTTCACGAATGTATAAGTAAATCATGTATACACACAAAATGCCACACACGTGTAATGTACTAATATCATCTGTCGTTACAATTAAGTAAGAGTAATGTACTGTATAAACAAGCTTTAGGCATATACCTGAAAGTAGCCATGCCTTATATGATCATATGATTGGGCATACATCATGGACTGAGTGGGCCACTGCACATACAATGGATCCCTGGAAGTCTGATTGAAGCCCACGGCACAGTACGGGCTCATTACAGGGCTATTGTAGTTGAGAGAAGGTTGAGGCCCATGCATCTGGCCCAGTTGAGGAAAAAACGAGTCATAATGAACAAGTGGAGACTGGAAACTGGGAGCATTAAATGGTGTTGGATTGAAACTCTGCATGATTGGCATGCTCTTGACATATCTGCAAAAAGTAACAAATCAACACGAAACAATTTACAACAGGCAGTCACAAAGAGAATGAGACGTAACGTTTTGAAGTCCATCGTATTTTCATGAATTGTAACAATGTAACAGATGACTAGTAACTACATATGATGCCTCGAGCTTTACCTTGTTTAATGTTACTCCCTCGGTTACCTGAAATTCTAGCAGTTATACAAACTATTAAAGTATCTTTACTATGTTTTCTCAATCTGTGTGATTTTACATGCAAGCCTACTTAAATGTACCAAAACAGAAACAAATCACCAGATAGTAAGCACAATGTTAGAAAATGTCTGCAGCATTCAACAATCTGATTAAAGAACTTGAAGGCACTTTGAGCGAAAAAAATATATACCTGTCATAACTGCGGTCATAGTCAGGGTCTGTTCGATCTTTCTCCCTGTCCCTAAAAACTGCTACCCTAGAAGAACTACTACCTATTTCCCTGATACTTTTGTCCCCATCCACACCAAAGCTTCTAGAAACTTCATCCTCATTGGCATTCAAATTCCTTCCATCAGAAACAACTTGGGCCGACATGTCTCCTAATTCAGAGCTACTAAATATGCGAGCACGGGCTTTGTCGTAATCCTCCTTCCTCTCCTCAACCGATCTTGCTGAACTGTGTTTATTATGCCCCAATTCACTGGCATCGTTTAGAGAAGCTTTGGGCCTTGGCTTTAGGACAATCTTGATTTTGTCAAGTTTGTTGGTTTCAAACTCATTAGCCGGTACGTTCGACAGGCAAAAGGCAGGGAATTTGCTCTCGGGTTTTTTTATGACCAAAATCCGAATACCCTGGCCATCGACAGAGCAGTCCTGAACCATAGTCTGCAGGCCATAATGTTGAGCAACTCGGTGGGCTGCAAGACGGAGGTAAGAAGTAGGAAAGTGTGGAAACTCAAACTGATGTAGATTAGAGTTTTGAAGGAATTTCTGAATATCGAGCTCCATCCGCAAAACTGATAGAATCAAGCACGTGCAGAACAATGAATTAGCAATTACTATATAAAAAAAATAAAGATAGCGAAAGTTGATAAAGAAAATAATCAAAATATCTGATGAACGCCAACTATCATAAAGAGATACACTTCGGAACATAAAAGGGCATTTGAAGAGAAGAAAAAAGACAATGTTGAAATTTGCAGGGTATAGAATTCAAGTGCCATAGTTATTTAAAATTAAATATCTGCAGCTTGTTTGGTATACTAGATCATTTGTTGACAATAACAATTAACACAAAAACTACATCAAGTCAACAAGATTTTGAGATTTGCAAGAAAAAAAACAGCTTGATATCCATCCATGTTTTACTACCAAACAATTTGTGTTTCCTACTAAACTATATCAACAACAAAGCATCTCACTAACCCGAAACAAATCACGACAACCATCAACAAAAGAATACAACAAACAGAGACTAAATACTCAGCATTACCAAATTCTGTTCACCAAAACATTGTAATTCTATCACAGTATTCACCATTTTCTAAAGATAAATAAGCTCAATAACTAAAAATTTCAGCTTTCCCCACCCCAGATCTACAACAATTCAGTAAAACTCCAATCCCGCCCAAAACAAACTTCAATTCAAAAACCAACCCTCATCAGATCTAAGAAAGGCATCAAACTCCAAACAGTTCCAAACCCTAACTACACATACGGCAACAAAACAACTAAATAATCGATTCACAGCTCACAAAACAGAAAACCACACAAATAATGAACTCAAGAAAAAAAGGTAACAAAAAACCCAACTCGTCAATCGATGACGAGGGTTCTGCAGGGCCTCCACCAAAAACGGATCCACCATCGAAGCGTAAGCCGGCGGCGCCTCTGTCCGCTCGGCGACGGTACCGCTGCCGTCGGATTCAGCAGCTGGTTGTGAAGTCACGTCCATCTCCGTATATATCAAACACGAGATAACGCACACAGATACAGGTACTAGTAGAAGAACATGCCAAGGTTCCTCTAGACAGAGAAGGGAAAAGGGGTGGAATCGAGAAGAGGAAAAAACCCTTTTCTCGAATTTCCTGCAATTTTCTAATCCGAGAGAGAGAGAGGAAGAAGATAACAGTGGTTGGGTTTTATATGGATTTTTTCTATTTTACTCGTGATTTTTTTATTTTTTTTTTTCTAGGGATTTTTTTTTTTTTATTTGTGTTTTGTAGGGCCAAAAAATTCCAGAATAGGACCGAATTAAGGATGTCAATAAAACTCGTAGGTTGGGTTACTCGCGGGTTATCCGTATTTTTTGGTTGGGTAAACAAAAAAAAAATGGGTTTTTTGGGTTAGTGTAGAATTATGCTACCCGAACTCTGGATCGGGTCGGGTGCGGGTATAGTAGGCAAACTCATTACCTGACCCGATTACCCTACCCGTTTACCCGCAACCATTGAATAATATATATATATATATACATACATATATATATATATATATAACTTATAATAAATATAAAAATAGTCATGTGTTATTTTTAAAAATTAGTTACCTATTATAATTTTGATTTATGGTTAATTTTATTTTATTTTTATAATTTTATTGTTATTTTTTGTTAATTGTACAATAAAAAATTAAATACTTATTTTTAAATGTTATAATATTAAATAAACTATAAAAGATAAATAATCATGTATCCTTATTTATTCCAAAAATAAAATAATTTTTCTTATAGTTTTTTATTGTCAAACTTAGTTAATAAATTATTTCTTACATTATAATTAATTGTGAAATTATTTTATTTTATTTTCATATGAAACGAAATGGGTCGGTTAAAACCCAAATTTAAGACTCGAGTTACCCGTTTATCCGACGAAAACCCATTAACCTGCAGGGTAAAACCTAACCCAAACCCGAAGATTACTAGTCAGGTAACGGGTCGGGTTTGGGTAAGGTAAATTATATGCGGGTCTGGTTTGGGTTTATCAAAACCCGTACCTAACCCGACCCATTTACATCCCTAGACAGAATTGGGAAGCCATGGAAATTGCTTGAAATACCTAATTAGTGCTAATATATCAGTAGTACTAGTACTACCGTGTGCCTTGGCACACCTGGTGTGCCAGGGCAGTTTTGCACGGACCTCTCTAACCCCAAAAACAAGAAAATTTGGAGAGTGTAGTGCACATTCTTATTTTTTATTTTTTAATTAAAAAATAAGACATATTACATAAATTAAAATATTATTAATTATTTATATTAAAAAATAAAATAAAAATAGCAAAATTCATAATTTTTCATTATCTATAAATAAAGACCACATTTGATAGGTTTTTGAACACAACTAAATTTTCGTTTTTTCGTAATTATTTTATTATACTGATATATAATGAACATTTTACATAATAAAATGAATATGTTTTCAAATATGATGAACATTTTACATATTGCAGATTGAAATAATACATATTCATCTTAATTTACAACATGTTCACCTTATTGTGTATGTAACATGTTCATCTTATTTTATAACATGTTCATTTTATTATGTAACATGTTCATCTTATTCTATAACATGTTCATTTTATTACGTAACATGTTCATCTTATTCTATAACATGTTCATTTATATTATGTAACATGTTCATCTTATTCTATAACATGTTCATTTTATTATGTAACATGTTCACCTTATTGTGTATGTAACATGGTCATGTTATACAACATGTTCATTTTATTATGTAACATGTTCATTTTATTCTATAACATGTTCATTTTATTATGTAACACGTTCATCTTATTTTAGAACATGTTCATCTAAATTTTATCTGTGAAATGTAACATTTTCATCTTATTCTATGACATGTTCATCTTACTCTATAACATGTTCATCTTACTATGTAACATATTCAACTAATTATGGATTTATGTCATAATCATCCAATAGGAAATTAATTGTAAGAAAATGATAAATTAATTGTGTTCCAAAAAATATCAAATATGGTCTCTATTTGTAGAGAATGAAAAATTATGAATTTTGGTATTTTAATTTTTATTTTTTGATACAAAATATGAATGATAATTTAATTTATATAATATGATATATGAATTTCATTATCCAATAGAAATGAGACACATGTCCCATTTAAAAAAAATGTCTTACCTCCTTAGAGCACCTAGGGATGTAAATGGGTCGGGTTGAGTACGAGTTTTGACAAACCTAAACCGACCCATTACCCGGTTAGTAATCTTCAGGTTCGGGTTGGGTTTTACCCAGCGGGTTAGTGGATTTTCGTCGAGAAAATGGGTAACCCGAGTTCTTAAATTTGGACTTCACCCGATCCATCTCGTTTCATATTAAAAAATAAAATAAAAAATTTCACAATTAATTATAATGTAACACACAATTTATTAACTAAGTTTGATAATAAAAAATCTACAAAAAAAATTATATTATTTTTGGAATAAATAATGAAATATAATTATTTATCTTGTATAGTCAATTTAATAATACTATATTTAAAAATTAAGTATTTAAATTTTTTATTGTACAATTAACAAAAATTGATTATAAAATCATAAGAAACAAAATAAAAATTTAACCATAATCAAACTTATAATAAATAATCTAATTTTTAATATTAATAACACATGACTACTTTTATATTTATAATAAGTTATAAATACATATATATATGTATATATAAGACTCAATGGTTCCGGGTAAATGGGTAGGGTAACGGGTTTTTCTACTATATCCGCACCCAACCCAACCCGGGGTTCGGGTAGCATAATTCTACCCTAACCCGACCCAAAACACGATCATATCGGGTTTACCCGACCCAAAAATGCGGGTAACCCGACCCTACGGGTTTTATTGACATCCCTAAGAGCACCCACAAAGCTTTGGGTCTCTTAGAAAAAAATCACTTGTCATGTAGGAAATAGACTAGTCTATAAAAAAATATTTCACAATGCAATTAAAAGTGAACTTAGTTTAACTTATGTGACACTAGAAAAAAGAGACTAAGTCCACACTTGGGTCTATTTTGGACCCAAGTGCAAATCCACCTAGTAATTAATTGTTCATAATTTTTTTTTTCTTTTTAATAGGCAAAACACATTTTTTTGTATGCATTTATTATTACTATATTTTTATTGGTTGTTTTGTATTCTAGATCTAGTACTTTTTTGTTTTGCATTGGATGAATTTTGGATATTTTAGCTTGGGTTTGTCCATGTTATTATGGATATTAAGTCAATTTATTTGCCACATAAGCAAAAAGAGACCTAAAGCATTATGGGTACTCTTACCTCACGCACTTTTGCGAGGGGTGTATTTTACAAAAGGCCCTGACACACCTTGCAAGGTGTGCTCTGTATTTGCCAATGCTACCTGCAACAAGGAAAATCGACGGCAAGTTTACGGATGCTCACTTCGGCAGAAAAACAACTGCCTTTTTAGAAAGAAGAGAGTGCACATAATGTAATGATACACATATAAATTCAAATATATTGATGAAATTGTAAATTTGGTCCTGTTAAATTAGGACGGTCGCAATTTTAGTCCACCGTCGCAATTTTAGTCTTGATAGTTAATGGTGACTTTAGAGTATGTTAGATTTTGGACCAAATGGCGAAACAAAAATTATTTAAGGACATTGGTACTGTCCCAATCCAACATGACTAAATTTGTGGTTTCCTCTATTTTCTTCATTGTTAAATTGCATACAAAGTCTGTAGCGAGGAAAAACAACCCTAAAAAGAAAATTGATGGCCGCGGTCACACATCTATCTAATATGTGCTTCTCAAATGTCTCAACGAAGACGGCAGCACGTAGCAACCAACCATCGGTGGCTTCTTTATCACTCGTTGTGGCCCGTACGATTCGCCGTAAAGCCTTCCCCGGCTATCAGATTCGCGGCGAATGGAAGCCCTTATATTGCCGTCCGATGAGCACTGGCCGGACGACGGCGCAAACAAATCCACCCTCACCCTCATCTTCCCCAACATCATATCCTTGGCTGATGCTCCCCCCCATCTTGGAATCCGACTCCACCACCACCGCGGCTTACAATTTCTACAGCCTGGGCGAGAAGCGGGTCGTAACCCTAACCTGCGAAGGTGCGGCTCGAGAAGTCACCGTCAGCGGCGATGTGATGCACTTCAGGGGCTCCTCCAACGGCTGGGTCGCCCTTTGGAACCCCCGCACACACGATATGTTCCTCTACAACCCCATCTCCCGCCGCCACATAAACCTTCCCCCATTTCACCAACTCCCCAATTATAACCACAGACAAGATTACGACCCATTTCGCGTCGAGAAGATCATCCTCTCCTCCTCCCCAGACGACAAAACCTGCCGGGCCGTGATTATCTACAAATTGGAGGGAATGATGGCCTTCTGCTGCCCGGCCCGGCCCAATGACAAATGGGCTCCAATGGCTGACGTCAGGAGCTGGTGGAG